GCAGAACTGCAGGCATTAGTCACGTGTATGAAAGAGGAATGTGAAATTAAAGGTCTCCGTTTGAATGCTAATAAAACTAAGGTTCTGGTATTTGAAAGGGACGAAGAGAGAACGAAGTGTGAAATATGGGTAAATCAGGAATGTCTAGAACAGGTAAATGAAATTGTATACTTGGGGAGTGCTTTTAGCCGGGATGGAAGATGTGATTTAGATGTGGACAGGCGTGTCGCTGCCGGGAACAAAGTCAATGGTGCCCTGACTGCGTTAGTCAAAAGGCAAGGCGTAGCGAAGAGTGCACGCATTGCAATACATAACGCAGTGTTGGTACCGACTTTGTTATATGGCAGCGAAACCTGGGTATGCCAGAAGAAGCATAAAAGTAAGTTGAATGCAGTGGAGATGCGATCTCTTCGTAAAATGTGCGGCGTTACCTTGGCCGACCGAAAGCGAAACGAAGAGATTCGCAATATGGCAGGTTTGAAAGATGACCTTATCACAAAAATTGATAAGGGCGTGCTTCGGTGGTTTGGGCACGTTGAGCGAATGAGTGAAGACCGAATGGTGAAGAAAATATATAGCGAGAAAATTAATATTAAAAGGTGTCTAGGTAGACCGAGACTAACTTTCGAAGACCATGTGAGCAAATTGCTCGAAGAGGGTAGGGTCAAGAGTACTCGGATACCTAGACGTGCATGCATGAAGAAGATAATGAATCTGAAAGAAGCGAAAGAGGTTTGTAAGGATCGTGACACTTGGCGATCTGTTCTCTCTGGCTACCCCGTCAGGGATTGTGCGTGAAGATAAGTTAAAGTTCTCCTTATCTGTCTAGGACTCTGTCAGGGTAGGTTATTACCCTCTTGGTATGGTACCTACCGACATTACGGTAATTCTGACGCTGCACTGTCGTGCTCCGGTCTCAAAGGGTACAGAGAGCTAGTAAAATTACAGGGTTTGAAGTATTCCAGGGCGTAATCTTAATACATTAATACTTGAGAACGTAATTATTACTGTACTAAATTTAGATTATCCTAAAGAACATTTTAGTCTTTGTAGCTTTTAGATTTTGTCGTACTATAATCTACTAGGTCCACTTGAGTGCACAATATGCCGCCTCTGTTGATGTAAGATGAAATTAAAATCTTGGAATATTATACGCTATGTGATTTTGAGATTCGACTATAATTCCTATTTTTAAAATGATCGTATCTTAGTAATTACATACTAAGATTGTGTGACCTTGATCAATATATGACTTAAGTCTATGGTTTTTCTATAGCTTGGACGAATTAACGTAGATTTGCCTGAAGCTGAACGCATATTTGTCAGCACCGTATGTGCCACATTTATTGATGGCCTCGCACATTTACACGTACGTGCCGAACGCAAATCTTTTGTATTGCCAACAACTTTTGAATTCTTGCAACCACTGGTGTGAAACGACAGTAACATAGATAGCTCGGGATCGCTATAGAAAAAAAAAAATGTTGTAATATGCTTATTGGCAGAGGAAGAAGAAGATTCTGGATTCTCAATATTAATTTCAAAATGCAGTCGTACGAGTATGGAGAATATTATATTTTATTTAAAGACTTATTAGATGATAATGAACAATTTTTCAGATATTTGCATTTGACATGCAAGAAATTTCAAGAACTAAATTTATACTAAAACTATATAAAATATATTTCGAAACGAATGTCGACATCACCAGATTTTGTGGAAAACCCACTAAGTTGGCAACAATAGACAACACTGAGTATCATCAAGCGCTGAACGCGCCGCGTATTATGACGCTATCAGCGTGTCTCCTTCAATGCCTTCATTTTATAAAATACGGTGCGTATGTGCGAGGTTTCATAAGATTTCATACAACGAATTCTAAAATGCGGCGCGTACGGTGTTGACAAATGTGCGTTCAGCTTAAGGCCAATATATAGGCAATATATTTGCATTTTTCACACTTCACAATTCGCAGGCATTCAATCCATTCAGTCTTAGTTCTCATTCCTGAAAATTGACCACAGAGTACTTTATAAATATCTGGGTGGTGATAACGCATTTGCAACTATCTTTATTTGAAATTGATAACAGATGTCCATGGGCTGCAGTTATATACTCTTTGGCCAACTGTAACTACTTACAAAACGTGTAAGTGCGTTGGTTACTTTAATTTTGTAAAAAAAAATTTTTAGCCAACACCGAAGAGGCCTGTTATATAATAACAGGCTTCGTCTATATCTTGGCGATATACCCAGACAGTAAATGTCTGGGTATATCGCCAAGATCAGAAGCAGGGGCAGTTTTTTTAAATAAAACAATACAAATTTAACTCTATTTTATTGCAATATTATCGGCTCTCCGAGCTCCATCTCTCATATTATTTGCTTATATTTAATTACAATAAATTAATTTATAAACAATCCATTAGAAATATTCATTACTTTAAATGCTGTAGTGTGTTCTGTAAAATGCTGTCCTATGTATATATACATACAGAAACGAGATTTTGTAATTTTTAATATTTGTAACAGTTTAAAATATCCACTCTTACTAAATATTATAACAATAAATTCACCGTTGTAAAGGCACAAATAGAAAATTCCTATGTTTCTTAACGCTCTATACTATTTATATAACAAGTGATAAAAATTAAAAATATTGTACAACCGACTTCAATATAAATTATTTAGATTAACTGAAAAACTACTGGTCAGACAATCAAATTATATGGGACCACATGAGAAGCACAAGCTTTCAAATTAAAGTTATATGGTAACACACAAAAAAAAAAAGAAAAAAAAACAGTCGAATTGAGTACCACCTCCTTTTTGAAGTCGGTTAAAACATCCTATTACACATTTCTATTTTGAATAACATATGCATATACAGTCCTGTCGAGATTTAAGATTCACATTTTATGTATAAATATGTAAAACGCTCTAAGAAAAGTGGCCAGTAATAGGATACGCCGGTTGTTAATACTAACGTTAACAATGAGATTGGTTATAAATACATCAAAAATTGTAAACGATAGAATTTACTATTTATAAAAATCTGGATGTAAAATACATAGTGTATCAATATATATATATATATATATATATATATATATATATATATATATATATATCCTACTGTACACAGAATTCTCTAACGTACGATTTAAGTCCACCACCCTTTGTTAGGGATTGAAAAGTTTCTAAAAACACCTGTATTTAGTAGTTTTATACTAAATCTAGAACTAGACTAAACCTAAATGAAAACTGTCATACATTTTTATTTTACTGGTACACGATCAAAACAAGTTCTAATATGTATGAATATATGGAGCGATAGTCACCCAATGATATTATCGTTGCCAAGGCATGAGCTAAATACTGTCTAGTGGCGGTGTAAGAATATCCACCACCTTTAAGAGGCGACAGAGGTAAACAATCCAGAAGATGGACAGCAGTGTCTTCCCAATAACAACTATAACATAAAAAAACGGCCGTTGCCAACCTAACAAAGCGTGGCAACTATGGCAAATATCCCCTCTATGAGGCTATTTATAGAAGCCTATGTTCAGGAGTGGGCTTATAAAAGATTGTATTGATGAGGCATAAGCCTAAACTACAACGACACGAAGGCTTTCACATTCGAAAACCGAAAAAATATGAATTCGGGATTTTTTTTTATAGAATAAGGTTGACAAACGAGCGCATAGACCACCTGTTGGTAAGTGGATGCTGTGGTCCATAGACATACATTTATCCTCAATTAAGAATCAAAAAGCAGATGCGCCGCCACCCCTGAGGAGTGAGATGGAGTGCCTCGTTGCCAGTAAAAAGGGACTCCGGTTCTCTACACTCACCATACGAAACACAGCTGCATTGAGCCGCTATTTCACGCTGGTGTTCTGTGAGAGCATGGTTTCACTCCGGTCGAGCCGATCCATTCGTGTTACAACCACAATATAGCTACAGCATGGCTCTACCACGTAAAAAAATTTGGGAACCCTAACAAAATTTATTACAGCTAATTTTCAATCCCTGCACACTGGTCAAATTTAGGTTGGTGGACTGAGATGTTTTATCATTAATATTCAGACCAACAGTTACTTTATGAAAACATTAGACTCAAGTTTTACGTCTTTACACATACGAATATTTTATAGAGCGATACCAAAACAATTTAAATTTTTTTATATATTATTAATACACAATTTGAATATGGCAAAATCAACAATATAACATAATCTATATATTTGTGAATATAGAATTTATTAATTCTATGTACCTTGTTGGTATTTAATTACAAAAAAAAACTTTAATACCTTTTTTTGTAAATAGCAAAATGTATAAATGAGAACAATTCAAAGTTTTACAAAAATAAGCCATCTTAAAAGTATCTTCATACTATCTCACTCAACAATTTTTAAGGAAACAAACAATGGAATGCCTACAATAATATTATAGTAATATGAGATTATTTACAATATTATACCTATCTGCTCCGAACTATTTATATGTATCGTAAAATAACTACGATAAAATCCATTTAACGTTGTACATGTTGAAAATTATTCAATTGTAAATATAAAATCGGTTTTGTTTTTAATTTTCTTTATTTTAATTTTATTAAACACAAGTTCATATAAATTTATATTGATCATAACAATTGCTAATAATGTTTTAAAGATAAAATAAACTTTTAAGTAAATTCGACTTCCTCACTGTCTATATAATGTTTTCAATAAGTAGTATATTATGAACCAATTTCAATGGTATGTTCTCGGTCGTACGGTTCATTTTCACTTCTCATTTACGCAACGAAGTCGCATTATACCCCGATCCGTGTAAAAACCACAAACTCGTACCAAATATTGAACTTTATTCCAACAGGCATACGCTTTTTCGTACGCGAATTCAACGGTTGGGAACAGCCTCAAGGTCTTATGTCCCCGGTAGCTGTGAGCCGATTTTGAGCTGTATTCCAATAGCACAAGGTTCGTTTTGGTGTCAGACGAGCGTGGGCGCGGCGCGCGGCGCGGGCTTGGGCGGCAGCGGCGGCGGCGTGCGCGGCGCGTGGCGCTGGCGCTGCTTCTCGCGCAGGTTTTCGAGGAACTCTGAAATAAATACACTAGTCATCAAAAAAATCGGCCCACCTGCGTTTTTACTGCAAATCACAGTTTTCTTAAGCAACACCAAACAAAATGTTTTAGTACTGATATGTTTTATCTAACTTGTTTATTTACACCAATTTAATCACAGTTAAAACATCAAAATGATTTTTTGCAAGTCATTTTGATTTAAAAATCACAATCCTTAATTTTACACGATTTTTTGATTAATTTTAAATACGTTCTAATTTTTATGTGTTAAATATTATTTATATAGTTGTTGCAATTTAATATTGCGTATTCCCTCTTACTCCAACGATGGCCTGCATTCGCCGTTTTAATAATCAGTCCCCCGTGACCATGGGTGCTGGAAAGCACCCGAAACGTCGGGAATTAATAAAAATAAGAAAAATAAGTTAATTAAACGCGACAAAATCCGTAAAAGTAGTTTTTATTCAATCTTATCAAGATTTTGATTATACAGTAATCGATTACTTTTTCTGCCACCAGGGCGGCGCAAACAGGCACATAATTTAAAAAAGAATACGGTTTAAAGAACCGATAATGGGAATATACACGGTTATTTTGTAATAACAGTTGGTAATTCGCGAGCATACAGTTGGATTTGAATCATACATCAACAGTGGAATAACTATTTTAGCTTGAATCAAGCATCGAATATTACACCCTTTTTAATTAAGTGAGTGAAAGTGAGTGCCTAGCGGCAGAGCAGCAACGCGTAAGCAAGACGGCCAAACGTCTACAATATTTATCCTGCTCACACAAAATACTCAGATGCAATACTTGCTTAGGGCGCGTGCACACTAAAGAGGTTTTTAATTCTTCTTGAACAATCACCAACCGGACGTGGAAGCTCTCAACCTGATTTATCAATGTAAAATGCTGAAAAAACCGACTTACAAAACACAACTTTTCGGGAAAAGAAAAAGCACCCTGAACATGAATGTATCAGCTCTGAACAGTTAGCTGATTTTCGCAAAGAAATGACCAGTATTTTAAGAGGTTTTTTTTCTTTGTTCAGTCACAAAAAAGGAAGAAAAAAAAATCTACAACTCACTACACAAAATATAATTCCTGAACATCAAACTTAAATTTGAAAAAAGAAAAAATTGATAAATTAGAAGCAAATATTGAAGTGGTAAAAACAAAATCGGACAACAAAAGTATTACAGTGGATTTCAGGTGCGATGAAATTTTTTCTGAATTACAAGAACGATATCTTAGAGAAAAAAAATATTTGGTAATTGTGGGAGTCCCAGAGGTCAAAGGAGAAAACTCCAAACAAAGATCTGCTAATATGGCTAAAGTTTAAAAAAAAGAAACAAAAAAATCATTTCCAGAATGTCCTGATCCAATGCAAGTACGACTTCATTTAGCGATAAAATACATAAAAGGCATGCCCAAAATCATTCAAATTCAATCAAAAAACTAAATAATGAAACAGAATTACTACACTACAAGCATAAAATCAGCTTATTTACAAAATCAACGTAACAATATAACTAATCAAGTTGCCAACAGTTACACACACGTAAATATAAGAACATGCTGTCCCGTGGCAGATTTAGGATTTGAAATTCGAATATTTTTGCAACGGTTGCGCGGGGGACCGGGGAGGGGTGACAGTTTGGCGCGGCACTTGTGCGGATCGGTCAGTCACGATGTCGCAGTGGACTGGCGCGCACCGCGCTTTCGCAGTTGAAGCGTATTTTGAAGCTAACAAATCGTGCACTGTTGCTCGCCGGAGATTTTGTTCTCACTACAATATTCGTCGCTTAAGTGAAGCACCGAGTAAAAGTTTGATTTTGACGTGGGTCCAGAAGTTCCGTGCAACAGGTTCAACAGTTAATGAGCCACGCCCAGGTCCTAGCCGAACGTCGAGGACTGCACAAAACATTGAACGCGTTGCAAACAGCGTGCAAGAAAATCCCCGCCAGTCCGTGCGCAAGAGAGCGTCAAGTTTACGGCTCCCAAAAACCATGGTGCACCGTATTTTAAGCTTGGACATTAAATTCCACCCCTTCAAGATCCAATTGGTACAGGCACTTAAACCAAATGACTACAGAGAACGCAAAGAGTTCTGTGATAACATGTTGAGCCGATTCCGTATTGTTAACACAATTTGGTTTAGTGATGAAGCTCATTTTCACTTGAATTGGTTTTTAATAAACAAAACTGCCGCTATTGGGCGCCAAGAGGACAAAACCCGCGATTAAAACACCAACAAGCATTGCATAGCCCAAAAGTAACTGTTTGAGCAGTTCTTTCTGTCATTGGAATAATTGGACCGTTTTTCTTTGAGAATTCTCGTGGAGTAACCGTAACTGTTGATGGTGATGTCTACCGCCGCATGCTTAGCGAATATTTTATTCCGAAACTAAGAGAACATCCATCGAACAGCTCTCACACGTTGTTTCAACAAGCGATTTGACCGGACCGATACGACTTAGGGACCTTCAAGAAAAGAGCGTACTCCTTTTTAAAAGGCCGGCAACGCATCTGCAATTCCCTCCCTGGTGTTGCAGTTGTTCGTGGGCGGCGGTAGTCACTTACCATCAGGTGAGCCGCATGCTCGTTTGCCGCCTATCCTATAAAAAAAAATGGCGCCACGCCGCACACAGCAAGAACCACCATGAGTCTCCTTCGCGAAGAATTCCCCGGAAAATTGATTAGCCGATTTGGGGACATCGCATGGCCACCCAGATCGCCAGATTGTACCCCATTAGATTTTTTTCTATGGGGTTACTTAAAGGGAAAAGTGTACGACAGCAACCCGATGGATCTATCGGATTTAAAAGAAAATATCGTGCGAGAAGTGAAAGCTATTCCACGGTCAGTATTGCAGCGCGTCGCTCAGAATACTCTCGAAAGATTCCGCGAGTGTGTACGTCGCGGTGGAAAACAATTGGACGGAGTGATATTCAAAAAATAAAATCAGCATGTCTCGTTTTTCTTTTTATGACAAATATATGTAAATTCTAAAAGAATAACCTTCTTTAATTGAATCAAGAAATCCTAAATCTGCCACGGGACACCCGGTACAAGATCATTGGATTTCATGTATGCTAATGTACGAAGTCTGGTTATGCCTGGGAAACTTGATGAAAAGTGTATTGTATCATCCTTGCAGAAAGTTCACGTCGTCATATTGACTGAGACGTGGATAAAATCCGAAAACGAAGCACCAGACCAAATTTACCAAATTTCACCCTTTACTATAACTAGATACCATTCTAGAGGTTGAGGAGTCTCAATATACGTTCATAATAATTTAAAACATTATTTTGTAGAAAGCAAATGTGAAGAAGATAATCACTATCTATGGAGACACTTAAAGATTTTCACTGGATATCGGAGTCATTTACAAACCAGAAAGAACAAACGCGCAATAATTTTTGGTGATTTCAATTTTGATCTAGTCAAAAAGGGATGCTCAGTTGAAGACTACAAAAATGTCATAAAGGAAAATGAATTTACCATATTAAATAAAATAAATTGCGACGTATTGTACATGCGAAACATCAACCACTAAAACCATATTAGACCATATCAGATCTAAACTAAAAGAACACGACTTTCATATGGCAATAATAGAATCCGCATTATCAGACCATAAACAAAATTATTTTAAAGTAAAACAATACAAGCCCAAAGCTACGAAAAGAATTAAATATGAAGCTATAAATTACCAAAATCTCTACTGCGACACGATAAATATGAAATACACCAATGATCAATATATTACACTTGAAGAATCTATCCAATTAGCTATAAAAAGAAACAAAGTAATAAAAACCAAAATATTGGACCCTCCTCGAAAAAACTGTATAAATAAGGATGTATTAGAAAAAATTGACAGAGTTTTAAGCAAAATCCGGGTAACTTAGAAATTGAAAAAAAAAAACTCAAGAAAGAAAGAATTGAAACCTTCGAACTTATTCGAACAACAAGGAATGTACGTGTACTAATAATAAAATAATGTACGTGTACTAATAATAAAGTAATACTTCAATAGTCTTTAAAACTTGTGTTGGCGAGCCTTCCAAAATGTGGTAACTTATAAATAACCTTTCAAACAACAAAACACAAGACAATTTTGCACCCACTCATCTATTAACTGCCCAAGTCACTATTATAGACACGCAAAACATCTGCGAAAAATTTAATGAATATTTCGCAAATATAGGTATTATTCTGTCTAGGCAATTACCAAATATATTTATGCTAAACAAAGTGCATTAATAGATGTATTCAGGAAAGCTAGTTCCCTAACTCACTGAAGCTTACCAAGTCACTCCAGTCTATAAATCGGGACCTAAGCATGAGCCAGGAAACTGCAGGCCAATCTAAGTACTTCCTACCATATCAAAAGTTTTTGAGAAAATTTTACATAAGCGCCTTAGTGATACTTAATCTCAAACAAACACCTCTCTGAGTATCAGTATGGCTTTAGGTCTAAATCAAATACCCTTTTGAGCATCAATTGATCTCATTACAAAACTTAAAACCAGTATAGGCCAAAAACATTAGCCCTTGGAGTTTTTATTGATCTGAAGAAGGCATTGGATACCGTAAGTAATGAAATTCTTCTATGTAAGCTTTCTGCGCTCAGTATAACTGGATTAGCATTAGAAATGATAGTCGTATTTCACAAACCGTTTTCAAGTATTTAAAATAGATAAACATGTTAGCAGCCCTAAGCCTGTTCAATACGGTGTCTCCGCAAGGGTCAATTTTAGGGCCTTTGCTGTTTCTAATATATATAAACGATATAAACAACATAGGCTTAAAGGGACATATCACCTTGTACACAGATGATACCTGCCTGATTTCCTTTTTATGTTTTAAATCAAAGTGCCTGGTAATGCATTGTTTTAACTGATTTTACTGCGCACGCACACATTCGTAAGGGCCGATCGGTAGGTAAAAACGTTATTGCCCATAAATCATATTCAATTTGGGATAATTTCAAATGAAAGTAGAAGCCTTATTTACTCGTATTTTCAAAAACTGCAATAACGGTATATTATTATTTATATATTTGAACTTGAGTTTAAAATTTGGCTACTCTTTGAAAAATAACCCTGTATAAGATAAGACCCGTGAGCGGTAGCTTCGTACTAGCGAGGACTATAGGTGTATCTCAATCCATCACTAGACAAAATGTCTTAGCAAGTGAAGAGAGTATGTATATTGTCTTTGTTCACATGTTGACGCTGCAATCGCCAGTAAGATATTTAACAACTGTCTTTCTTCAAATACCCTCTAAATGGAGATACAATGTGTGCACTGGTGTATTGTGTGCAAGAGCACGTAAGAAGTGTAAAAGTCCACAGCATTGCAACACTGACCTGGCGGGTGGTGGTGCAGCGGCGGGCCCGCGCGCAGCGCCGCACGCACTCTGCCCCCGGCGCCCCCCGCACCGCCATCGCCCCCCGCCGCCGCCGCACCCCCCGCGCCGCCCGCCACGCTCCCGCTGCTGGCCGTGCTCACGCTGCTGCTGCTGCCCGTGCCGCACGCCAGCGCGGGACCCCCTGCCCCCACACTGCTGCCGACCCCCGTCACACTCCCACACTCGCTACGGTTTCGACTCGATATGCTCTGTGAAAATAAAAACGACAGTTCATAAATTGTGATAAACAATGTTAATTGTGAAGGCGGATACTTTAGTATTAGAAAATATTTGAAGGTCTTATGTATAATATTTTTAATTGCAGAATTTTTGTTGAATTACATTTGTACTATAGTTGTGTAGACATACACAATTGATATTCAATCCGAAGAACGCCTAACGCTTTCATTGTTAGTACGGACACAGTTTAAAGATAAAATAGCATTATAGTTTTATTTCTTTTTATGTTCAATGATTTAAAGCAATAAGCAATTCTGTTACTGCTGTTTTGTGTATGTTAATACAATTTGTCTGATGAAGTGTATAAAATAACGCTTATTGAACTTTGGTCTCAGGTTTCCTCGATACAGAGTTGCCCAGTGAGGAAACCAACAGATATTACCTATTGTAAAATTTTTTCTGATAATAAAACATTTTTGCAGTTTAACAATTGTTAAATTTAATTACGTAGTGTATTCGCATTCGGATAAACAATTTTATCAAAATAAAAATGAGGAAAACATAAGCATGACCGTCATTTGAATTCAATTTTACTTAGTAACTCATATAACTATAACAGTAATTCACCATTATAGACATTATGGAAAACGGCACTTAAAATTAGATAAATATGTACTATAAAACACGCTCGCTTCAACCGCATGTATTGTACAGCAGACCTAGTGGAGTGCGCTGGCACAAAGTTGCGCCGGCCACTGCCCCGCAAGGTACATTTGTTTCCCAACTGTTAGACTATCTCTAAACTGTGCTACGGAGTTGTATACCGGAGAAACAAATTAACGGAAATTGTCAAAGTAGTTGGGTAAAATCTCCGAGATTCTTCGCATGCGTCAACAAATTGATAAGAATTTTGTAAATATATTTATGCAGGGTTATTTTGCAATAACTAGCCTTTTTATTCTTTACTGTTCCTAAGGATACAAAAAGGTAAGATATTATTATTTATGGGTAGATCTAGATAATAAGGTACCTAGTTACTGACGCCTTAGTCACAGATTTATTAATTGTTTAGCGTACCGACCAAAGCTTCGCAGTTATCGATTTTTTCGTATATAGTTTTAAAGACGTTCACGTGTTTATAATCGTAATTTGACTCGATGTTGCATATTAACCTTCCTCACATTGAACAATAATATTTTTATTATCAGCAAATTACTAATACATTGCATAACACTTCGGTGTATTTTGCTACCAACTAATATCAAAGGATTCAATTTGTTTTCTCACAACACCTAACCTATTGTAATAAATAATGTGTGATCTAACCACCTAACTCTACAGCGAGTGTAGGAGCGACCTTAACAAAGGCGCGTTAAGGGCTAAGTGATACAGTCTCTCGCACGCGGATATAAGGTACATTTTGATTTAATACGTGCGCTTCATTAATTTTTTTTCAACGATTTCATCGGTAGGCTATTTTAACGAAGGTTGTATCCAAGGCGTGTAAAATATTATGCACATTAGCGACGTTGCAACTAGGTTTAAACTTTCAAGTTTCATAGAGTTATCCTTCTGTTTTTGCACTATTATTTATTATGGTTTTAAAAATAATCTTACTAGCAAGTTAAGTAAAATAAATCGGACTAAAGGTAATATACCAGCTGTTCGCTGTCATCTTGCAGTCTCACGGCGAGGTCGGAAAGGGAGTCTGCGTCATCATCTCGGTCTCTGACCTCCACTGCCTCTGCACCATCACACAATTCCACGATTTCCAGTAGAGCTCCATCCAACTCCTGTGATCAAAAAATTTTAACATAAAATACGAAAATTTAAGATAAGTAAAGAATAGTAGATTAGATTATAAAATTATAAAAAAGAAATTAAATAGGCTGATGAACAAGATTTAGAAAAAGAAGACCACAATAATAATAAAGGAATAAATAAAAAGTAAAAGACTTTTAAAATGTGGACTATATTTTAACATACATACATACATATAATCACGTCTCTTTCCCGTAGGGGTAGGCAGAGACCAGTTCTTTCCACTTGCTACGATCCTTACATACTTGGTTTGCTTCGTCCACTTTCATTATTCCCTTCATACATGCTCTACGGTTTAGGGTACTCTTGACCTGGCCTTTTTTCAAGACGTCCCTGATTTGGTCTAGAAATGTCCGCCTAGGTCTACCCCTTCCAACACTTTCATTCACACTCGCCTTATACACTTTTTTCGTCAATCGTTCTTCATTCATTCTCTCGACATGGCCAAACCATCTCAGCATACCTTTCTCAATTTTTGTCACTACATCTTCTTTCAGGCCACAACGTTTCCTTATCTCACTATTTCTTATCCTGTCACTCAGTTTAACTCCTATCATACTTCTTAATGCTCTCATCTCAACTGCATTTATTCTGCTTTCATGTTTCTTCACACCCAAGTTTCACTTCCGTACATGAGAGTCGGAACCAACACCCCCTCATGCACAGCCAAACGAGCCTTGTTAGACACCTTCCGACTGCTCATAAAGGAGTTCAAAGCTCCATTCACTATGTTTCCTGCATTCACTCTTCTTTCGATATCACTCTCACATTTTCCATGTCTTGTAAACTTTGAAACCAGATACACAAACTCTTTCACCTGTTCAATTTGTTCATCTTCAATCACAATATTGCAGTCTGTCACTGCCTCATCTTTTTCAAACACCTTCACTTTCGTCTTCCTTACATCCATCTTCATTCCCTTTCTAACAAAAGCTCCACTCATAGCAGTTACCATCTCCTGCAACTCCTCGGCCGAAGACGCAAGTAATACTTGGTCATCAGCATAGAGAAAACATTTGACGAGTAACTCATTCATTCTCAACCCACTTTCATTCTCTTTTAAATCTGTCAAACAATTGTCCATGAACAGATTAAACGGCCACGGTGACGCTACACATCCCTGTCTAACACCTTTTTCGATATTAAACCATTCAGTGTATGCCCCGTTTATCCTTACACAAGCACTAGAATCCCTATAAAGAGATTGCATTGAGATGCTCGTATGAGGATACTGCTCACACCGTTCACGGACAGTACTGACCACAATTCATTCCTCACCACTCTATCATAGGCCTTTTCTAGATCTACGAACGCGCCGAAAAGTATTTGGCTAAAAACAAGAAAGTCTACTACTTTCTTGTTTTTAGCCAAATACTTTTCGGCTATGCACCGCAAGGAAAAGACCTGATCCGTACATCCCATTCCCTTTCTAAATCCCGCTTGTGCATCCCATACTTTCTCGTCTGTTTCATTCACAACCCTTTCAATCAACACTTTCGCATACAATTTACCGACGACGCTGAGAAGGCTTATACCGCGGTAATTTATGCAGTCCTGCCGTGACCCTTTTCCTTTATACAATGGCACGATTACGGCTTTGCACCAGTCTCCCGGTACTTGCCCATTTCGCCAGCACAGATTGAAAAGGCGTTACAGCTGACTAGCCACCAGGCCCTGTCCAGTCCTCAGCATCTCGACGGTAATCCTGTCATACCCTGCAGCCTTACCTAATCTCATACTTTTCAACGCTTTCACTATTTCATCCATGCTTATTATCTCATTTTCATCAACATTTATATTAGTTTCCGTGGAAGGTGGCAGATGCTGTACCTGCACTTCCTCTCTTTCAAACAAACTTTCAAAATACTCTTTCCATCTCTTTAACAGGCATTCTTCTCCTTTTATAATGCTCCCATCTTGACTCCTGATTGTACTCAGCTCCGAGGTAGAAGTTTTTCCTCTGGCTGTTTTGATGGTTTTCCAGAAAAACTTAATGTTTGACTGGAAATCTTCAGTGAGCCTCCTATCGAAATCATCCTTTCGTTCTTTTTTCTTTCTAGACACAATTTCTTTCGCTGCTGTTTTCAATCTTTTATACTTCGTTCTTGCTTCCTTTATCTCGTCATCCGTTGCCTTTTGAACTTATTGGTTAGCTTTTGTTGCTAACCAATCCAACCACGCTTTCTTCTTTTCTTGCACAACCATTTGTACATCTTTATCCATACACACGTTATCATCCTTTCTTCCTTTCCTTCTTTTAGCTACCCCGCATACCTCAATAGCAACATTTACGACCCCTTTCTTAAATGTCTCCCACAAATCTTCAATCACTCCTATCTCTTCTATCCCTTTAAAACTTTCTTTCAGTTTCTCTACATACTCGTCTTTCTTTTCTTTTTCTTGTAGATTTTCCACTTTTACTCTGTCCAAAACACTCGTAGGCTCGGCCACTCGGTGTCGCCACCGTTTAAAGAGGCCACGCATTCGGGCTATGACCAGGAAGTGGTCTGTGTCGAGGCCTACACCGCGGTATGCCCGAGTGTCTAGCACTTTCTTCCTCAGTCTTTCATCCACAATTACAAAATCAATCATACTTCTAGTCTCACCCTCATCTCTTGTATACAAATGGATCTTTTTGTGGTCAAACATTGTGTTGGCCACGCACAGATTCCATTCCAAGCATACTTCAAGCAGGCTTCTCCCATTGTCATTCACTCTCTCGTCCCCAAACGTACCCAGAACTCCTTCATACCCATCACGCTTTACTCCAACCCATCCATTAAAGTCCCCTAACATCACGATCCGTTCATTTTCTCCGCATTTATTCAAGACTTCTCTCATGCTATCCCAAAATTCCTCTCTCTCTTGTTGTGTTTTTAATGACCCACCTCCACGCAGATCCGTCGGTGCATAGACCCCAAGGATAAACAAGCGAGTGAGTCCGACTTTTAACCTAATCCAGAGGAGTCTTGGGCTTACACATTCATGCTCCATCACACATTCAACCATTCGAGATGAAAGAATCACACCAACTCCCTGACAGCCTCGGCTGGTTTGGGGGACTCCCGACCAGTATGCCGTGTAGGGGCCATGAACCGTGGTGTCACATCCTTTCCTCTTGGTTTCGTTCACGCACAGAATATCAATGCAACGTTCATCCATCATCTGACATACTTCATCTACCTTACCATCCATTCCTCCTCTTACATTCAACGTAGCGAAGCGGCTCTCCGTGGGCCGCTTTTCGCCCCCGCGAGAAACGAGACGTGATGGGTGGCGAACCACATCGCCGCCATTTTGGTTAATTAAATTATTTTTTTGATTATCCATTGCGTTCCCACGAATAGCGAAGGAAAGGTTTGTCCCCCCCAGCAGAACCCCGCATGCCAGGGTAAGGCTAGCCTAATTCTGGGGTCGCCCGATCCCAGGGCAGTGTGGCACGCTAACGACTAGGCTCGCCCCTAGCCATGCATCCATCCGCGATAGGGTCGAGGGATACTCATCCCAATTTACCTGTCCGGTAGTTGTGGTATGGTATATATGGTATGCGACCCCGGCTTCCCTAGCTATTACTGTCCTATCCCGTGCCCTCCTGGACGGTAATATCCTACATTTCCTATTTCCTACCCTAACTTATCTTACTCTTCCTTTTCACACCACCTATGCTTCCCCTTTTCCTATTCCTACCCTCCGCCAATCCAACGTCTGCCGCGCGGACTATATTTTAAAAGTATTTTAATTACAAAATAAAAACAATTTGAGGTACGGTAAAAAGAAAACAGGTAATTATATGGATTATTCCTTAAACGTAGCCGTAAAGACCATGATTAAGAGTAGACGTGCTATACTTGAGTGGGTAGATCGCAGGCAAGTTAAGTGTACGTGTGTGGTAAACGTGTGTGAGTGAGTGATCGGGAGTGTATGTGTGCTTGTGAGAAGGTATGTGAGTAAGCGCGTGTGAGTGAGCAAGTTTTTCTGTGTACGTGTACGCACGTGCGCGGGCGTGTCGGGGTGCAGCGGGCGGCCGGCGCGCAGCACGGCGGCGGGCGCGCGGCGGCGCAGCACGGGCGCAGTGCTCGTGTGTGTGTGTGTGTACGTGTGTGTACGTGTACGCACGTGCGCGGGCGTGTCGGGGTGCAGCGGGCGGCCGGCGCGCAGCACGGCGGCGGGCGCGCGGCGGCGCAGCACGGGCGCAGTGCTCGTGTGTGTGTGTACGTGTGTGTACGTGTGTGTACGTGTGTGTACGTGTACGCACGTGCGCGGGCGTGTCGGGGTGCAGCGGGCGGCCGGCGCGCAGCACGGCGGCGGGCGCGCGGCGGCGCAGCACGGGCGCAGTGCTCGTGTGTGTGTGTGTGTACGTGTGTGTACGTGTACGCACGTGCGCGGGCGTGTCGGGGTGCAGCGGGCGGCCGGCGCGCAGCACGGCGGCGGGCGCGCGGCGGCGCAGCACGGGCGCAGTGCTCGTGTGTGTGTGTACGTGTGTGTACGTGTGTGTACGTGTGTGTACGTGTACGCACGTGCGCGGGCGTGTCGGGGTGCAGCGGGCGGCCGGCGCGCAGCACGGCGGCGGGCGCGCGGCGGCGCAGCACGGGCGCAGTGCTCGTGTGTGTGTGTACGTGTGTGTACGTGTGTGTACGTGTGTGTACGTGTACGCACGTGCGCGGGCGTGTCGGGGTGCAGCGGGCGGCCGGCGCGCAGCACGGCGGCGGGCGCGCGGCGGCGCAGCACGGGCGCAGTGCTCGTGTGTGTGTGTACGTGTGTGTACGTGTGTGTACGTGTGTGTACGTGTACGCACGTGCGCGGGCGTGTCGGGGTGCAGCGGGCGGCCGGCGCGCAGCACGGCGGCGGGCGCGCGGCGGCGCAGCACGGGCGCAGTGCTCGTGTGTGTGTGTACGTGTGTGTACGTGTGTGTACGTGTGTGTACGTGTACGCACGTGCGCGGGCGTGTCGGGGTGCAGCGGGCGGCCGGCGCGCAGCACGGCGGCGGGCGCGCGGCGGCGCAGCACGGGCGCAGTGCTCGTGTGTGTGTGTGTGTACGTGTGTGTACGTGTACGCACGTGCGCGGGCGTGTCGGGGTGCAGCGGGCGGCCGGCGCGCAGCACGGCGGCGGGCGCGCGGCGGCGCAGCACGGGCGCAGTGCTCGTGTGTGTGTGTACGTGTGTGTACGTGTGTGTACGTGTGTGTACGTGTACGCACGTGCGCGGGCGTGTCGGGGTGCAGCGGGCGGCCGGCGCGCAGCACGGCGGCGGGCGCGCGGCGGCGCAGCACGGGCGCAGTGCTCGTGTGTGTGTGTACGTGTGTGTACGTGTGTGTACGTGTGTGTACGTGTACGCACGTGCGCGGGCGTGTCGGGGTGCAGCGGGCGGCCGGCGCGCAGCACGGCGGCGGGCGCGCGGCGGCGCAGCACGGGGCGCAGCACGTGGCGCAGCGGGCGCGCGGCGCGGCAGCGCACGGCCAGCAGGCGCCCGCCCACGGCCAGCCGCAGCACCACGCGCCGCTCCACGCGCGCCTCGCGCCCGGCCAGCGCCAGCGACGACGCGCCCACCTCGATGGCTCGCCACGACCCCTGCACCAATGTACACACCTTTTAGCCTCACGCTTAATAATTTACTTTTATTCCGACACTGATCAAAATCCGGCTCGAAGGACCAAATTTTTCGGGTGAAGTAATAACGCAGGCATAGAATATAAAAAAATTGGTAATATCGCAATGGTTAATGGTTAATGATATGGGCACACGCGGCGTGGTTGGTGACCGATCGTGAACTGTTCTTATTTGAAGTAGGATATTCATCTTTGTGCATTATAATCATGGCATCAATGCATGGCTTAAGCATAGAATGTTACACTATCGGAAAGAACTCCTTGTCGATACATCTTAAAAATATGCACTTGATGTAGGAATGGTGTAAAAAACAGGTTGGTTACACGAATCTTAAAATTTTCTTTGGTGTCCGATACTAAGAATACGCTGTAAAATGATCTACTAAAGGTAACTGGTTTGAAAATAATTAACAACTAAACTTCACCCGTGTATCATCAACGTCGAGTACTATTATAGATCATGTTGCTACAAATATCAAAAACCAATAATTTCATATGGCTATCATTGAATCATTTTGAGATCACAAAAATATCTACGTTGAAATGAAAAAAATTAAACCACTACAAATGCAAAAAGTACAATACGAAGCTGTTAACTATGAAATTTTATGCAAGCGAACCAGAGTACATAAGGTCGAAAATGAAGAATGTAATTTTGGCACTCTGGAAGAATTTATAAAAAAAAATCAGATAGTAAAGAAATCATAATGGGGATAAAAAAGGAGTCAATTGTCGTATAAACTAAAGCAGGAGACTCAGAGAATAACGAACTAAAATCAGAATTATAATGATAAAAAGACAAAAGTGGCGAAACTTATCAAAACTTCGAAGAGCAGATATTATTACAGAGTTTGAAGCGTAAAAAGATGTGGAAACTGATAAATAATACAATTTTTAAGAATAAACCTATTGCAAGTGGTACTCCCCCAAATTTTAACATAGATAATGGCTTAGTCATTAAAGATCCTGTAGCTGTTTTTGAGTTATTCAGTAAGTTTTTCTCAAATATTGGTACGCAATTGACAAACAAAATATCATCCAATTATTATAAACGAGCCTAGCGAAGATGGCCACGCTTGCATCGGTCAGTATAGATATTTCTAAAACAACGTGATTGTTGAGTTATCTAACTTTGGTAACGCTCTAACAGTGGTAGAGCCACGCGGCAGCTTTTGCTTTCGCACGGATGGGCCGGCTCAAACCTGGGTAGTACCACCCTCTCATAGAATATCAGCGTAAAGTAGAAGTTTAATTCTGAGTTTCGCCTGGTGAGTACAGGTGACCAGAAGCCCAATTCCCTCCCCCACACTTAACATGGTAGCGGAGTTAAATAGAACACTACAACAGGAGGGTACCAGCACCCCAGGTGACGGAGAATCCCTCGCTGAGCATCCACCTCCAAGCTACCCTACTCCTCCTGAGCGTGGGGTGCTTAGGCTGACTCGCATATTCTGATGGCGGGGGAAGGGGGGGGGGGGGCGAGATTCCGCTCAAGACGAACCCTGCTCGTGGCAATCGAAGCAATAAGATAAAGGCAACCCCTGCCCTTTATTTATTAGAAAACTCCTTTGTGCCCCGGGTTGAAGTTTGCGTGTACGTCAGAGAGGACATCTGCTTTTGACGCCTCGGCAGTCTTGAAGGTACGAATTTTTTTTTTTTTAGAAAAACGTTTTTCCCCCACTAGGATTTTCTCCTGTGTCGTGGAGGCAGTTTACAAACATAAATTGCACAAGGACAAACATCCAGACCCGGAACAATTATTTGTAGGCCATACAAATACTTGTTCCGTGCGGGATTCGAACCCGCGGCCCTCAGCGCAACAATTGATTGCTAAGCCACTACGCCACGGAGCCGTCTTACTTGTCCATCCTATGGCTGCGCTTAGACAGCAACGACTATCCCCGCGTCTACGGGTGCCTCTATATGACCCATAGCGGTAATGCCGACACAGACCGACTCATCGACCACGTCCAAATGGTTGCAGACTCCATTCTACAACAGGTCCCATCCGCAGAGATAGTGATGCTCGGTGATTTTAACACCCACCACGCTGAATGGTTTGGTTCCCACAACGATACACACTCATTGTGAAAACTAAAATCGGATATATAAGCCAAAAAAAAAACCGTCATAAAAATGAGTTAGTTTGGAAACTAACACTATTACAGGGATTGACTACATTAGTACAAAAGCAATTAAGTGTGTTAAAACTCTTAACTGTTCCCAATCTCACTGATTGTGTTGATAAATTACTGGTACGAAGTATATGCCCAGATAGCCTAAAACTGCTGGTATAAAGACAGAACCAGGAAACTACCGGCCTGTGTCAGTTTTGACAAAGCTTGCAGAAATACTGGCGGAAGTAATTTACTAACGACTGAATGACCACTGAATTGAAATATTTTTTTTTTATAGGATAAGGGTGACAAGCGAGCACACAGTCCACCTGATGGTAAGTGGTTGGTTGCTGAGGCCCATAGACATCTACATCTATCTTAAATTACGAATCAAAATGCAGATGCATTGTCACTCGTGAGGTCTAAGATGGAATGCCTCTTTTCCAGTAAAAAATTTTTTTTTGTGTAATCAATAAATACGGCTTCCGTTCAAAATCGAGTACTCTTAGTGCATTTATTGACTTACTAAAATAGACCAAATCACATATCTCAGTTTTTTTGTTATTTATTATATAGTTAAATTATACATTTTTATATTCGATATCAATGGCTAACACCAAAATATTGAAAAAATACAAAAGCCTATTTATCTACAAAATTCGTAAATGCATGTAACTAAATGACGATACAATAGTTATAAGATGTATCTAAGTGACCTTTATGCGAACGTTAAATGTGAATAGCGTTTATTGGTTTCGGTGCGAGAAGTTATCGAATCCGAGTTGATTTCGCTTTCCGAGACGATTGTGAATAGCCCGGCTGGTTCCACTCGATCGTTTCTTCAATACGAGCTGTATTGAAGATGGGTAAGTCCCGCCGCATGCATTTGAAGATTTGTCTGTTCAGTTGCCTTTATGCTGTTAAATCTGTTGAAGACTGCAGCTTCTTTTCCCGTCTAACAGCCATGAGATTAAGAGTGTAATCACAGAGATTTTGTGTTTATTAGCGGCTAATTAAACTTGTGTAAAATGTGAAAAAAGAAACATATTATGTAAATATCAATATATTTAATGCACCAAGTGCTACTAACCTCGTCATCACGAAGCAGAACATCATAAGAGAGCACGGGTAAATTTCGACGTTGCAGCAACCTATCGACTAGCCGCCTCACTGGCACTCCTTCTTCAACGCCCACTACGGATGTGGCACCATCTGGTAGCACTACCCGACATAATGCATTTGCACCTAGAGTGCCAGCTTTCACCACCTAGGAAGAAATGCTTTGTTTAATAATACAGATTAAGTACTGCGTGGATTTTTTTACTAAACATAAACATGCCTTTTGGGTTACGTAATGATATGTCTATTTTTCAGCGATTGTTGCATAATAAAAATCACTCATTATTCCCTATTTTATTAATTAAAATTACATAAAAGTACATATAGTACAATAAAGTGTTTATTTATACGGGATGCGATCTGAGGTTACAACTATCTATAATTTTACATTTGTTTGTCCATTTATTTAATCAATTTATTTAATTACGTCATAGCAAGTCTCTTATTTATGTTAACGTTTTTGAGCAGTGATTCTTTCGTACCTTGTACTACTAAGTGTTATGTGGCTTTGCGTTACAGAAGTATTTGCGATGTAAGTTACACAGATCATGTTATAAAAACGTCATTTGCGGAAAACTTCAGTAACTTCTTTTGAGTAATTTATTAAAGTGAGGCGAAGATGCTTACTGTTTGCTTTTAATAGTTATGTTTATTAATAATAATTATTTAACTTAAAATTTTTAAGACGTACTCTCGTATTTTTGAACTACACAAATAAACTGTAATGGGATATTAAAACTAGTAGGTACAATAAAACGATATAAATACGTTTTCCATAAATATACCGAGCGCAACGCAAATAAAATAATTAAACACAATTCGCGGAATAACTGCATTAGATATGTCTGCGTTCTCCTAAACCCATTCAGGATTACATGCCATATTTTTTACTTTTTTATTTTATATATACATATGGTTACGCGAAAGTTATTTGCATAAAAGTAAGAAATATATGAAAACTTAATGCTACTATCACGTTGTCGCATATACAAAGACTAGTCAATATAAAATGACTTTAAGGAAAATAATTGTAATTCGTTTGTAATTACTACAACCGTGTGACAAGTGAATTGAACCATTGATTTTCCCAAATCTTTTTATTCAACTGCCGCAGAAGGCGGGTAATGTTTTTGGAGAGTATGTACGTATAGGTATGTATGTCTATTTCTTTCTCACGCTCGGCAGTCTGAACGGCTTAATAGATTTTAACATATGAGGTGTCATTAGATTTGTCTTAATTATGGGAGTAATATAGGCTTTCTACGATAAATAACGGATTTGAAATCTAGGATTAAGACGTAAGTAGTGGTGATCTAAGCATATTGTGTAATTTATCACTATTTTCCAGAGATTGTATTAGCGAACAAAGAAAAGGGTCTCCGATTTTCAACACTCCATACGAAACAAAGCAACGTTAAACTGTTATTTTGCAATGGTATTCTGTGAGAGCGTGATCCTTCCCCGGTCGAGTGGACTCATTCGTGCTGCAACTATAATATAATTGCAGCGCTACCACGTTAGAGATCATTTTATACTAAAACGTGCGTAAATCTAGTGAAACCCTAGGGGAGCTATAAGGTTAAGCTATAGCCCAATACATGTTATAGCTGGAGCTATAATATGTATTGGGCTCACTTTTTTTATAAGGGTGACAAGCGAGCACACAGTCCACCTGATGGTAAGTGGTTGTTGTGGCCCATAGATATCTACATCTATCTTCGATTACGAATCAAAATGCGGATGCGTTGTCACCCGTGAGGACAAGATGGAAGGCCTCGTTTCCAGTAAAAAGGGTCTCCGGTTCTCTACACACACCATACGAAACACAGCAGCGTTAAGCTGCTATTTTACGCTGGTATTCTGTGAGATGCAGATATAGATATGTGACTTATAGAAATTGCAGATTTTACGTATCAATGTTGAGACTATTATTCAAACTTCATGAAAAATTAATAAGATTCAACCTGAACTAAAAACAATATATTATTAAATTTTTTGGACAATCGCATCTTGAATAACGAATTTGATTATTACTTGAATTATTTTATGTTCAAACACAGATAAAAAGATAAGTTGACTAAGTTTATTTTTGACACAGAAGTCTTTATAATTCTATGCATAATGAGACGCAGTAGCGTCATCAGTCCGCGCAAATATTTGCACTGCACTACGTTATGTTCCATTAATAGTCATATGCAAGTCATTTCCAACAGTATTTTATTGTTTCCGTAACATTATGTTAAGTTTGCATTTCTCTTTAAGTTATAGGTATGTTTCCAGCGCGATTATGAACCTTGTTGAATGAAAACAATAATCTCTTATTGATTTCTTGATCGTTTTCATTTAATAAGTAACCCTAACTCCTTTTAGGAGAGTCTAAATTTGTACTGCATCTTATATATTTGAGCTATCAAGTATTATTACTGGCTATGGGGTAGTTTTCATTGTAGTTATTGGAGGTGACATGTGTTAGTGATCATGTTTGAAGTTGGTTGCAAGTGGAGGTCCCATTGCCTACAGTAGTCTACCTGTGTCACTTTAATATTGCCCATCTCCTGTTTCATTTCCCTACGTCGCCTCTCACGACACCTACACCACGGGAGCATATGGTGTAGTGGAAACTTTTAAGCCTCCACTAAACGGGGTATTATTAAGGTTATGAAATCATTATGCTATGTATGACTGTTTCGTTTAAAGATTTGTGTCTCGAGTAAGTCATGCCCTATAAGCTTTTGGAATTATATATATCCGAAATTATTTCCTTAATTTCCCTAGAAATCGGCAACGATTTATTTTTACTTCTGATATCCATTACTTTTGTATACAGATTCAACATAACCCTCAAATCCTTATCATCGATAGCAATCATAGCTGCCTATCAAAATATACAAGGCGGTTTTGTAGTTAAAGCCACTAATGCGTGAAAGTTTACATCAGTGTTCTTTAGCTTATTCGCACTCAATTTTGTACGGTATGTAAACGAAAAATAAAATAATTAATAAAATCATCATCCAAAAGACGTAAAATTAAAATAAGCCAAGATCTGCGCGTAATTATCGAGTCTGAACACTACCCTAGACTTTTTAAACTATGGGAATATATTTACTTAATTTTATTTTCGTAGGCGGTTTTGAGAATTAATATGCACAAAAAGTCAGTCAAAAACTGCAAAAACATTAAGTGACTGAAACCTTGGACTGGTTTCTGACTTAAATTAAAGAAATCATTAAGCTAAGCTAAGTCATACAAATATGGTACTCACGTCAGCGAGTGGTGGCGGTTCGGTCCTCTCGTTCCGATCTGATTTGTCGGATCGTTCAGATCGGTCGGTCTGCGAGGCGGCGCGTTCTCGTGAGGCGCCACGTAACTTCCACGGGAGCAAAGATGCTCCGCCGCTTCTGCGTCTCTCCGACGCGTTCGATGCCGACTTCTTGAGCTGTTTTGATTAAACAAAAAGTTAGGTCATGAAAGTGTCAAGCTTTTTTTAATTTTTTTTTAGGTATGGTAAGTGGTTGCTGCAGTCCATAGACATCTGCATCTATCCTCTATTACAAATCAAAATGCAGATGCGTTGTCACCCGTGAGGACTAAGACGTAATGCCTCTTTTCCAGTAAAAAGGGTCTCCGGTTCTCTACACTCACCATACGAAACACAGCAGCGTTAACAACGCTGGTATTCTGTGAGAGCGTGGTCCTTCCCCGGTCGAGCCGACCCATTCGTGCTAAAACTAAACAACTAATATAGCTGCAGCATGGCTCTACCACGTAAGAAAATTAATTTCATGTGATATGGCGTTTGGTTGTCGCCATATTGAATTTTGATTGCAGTTGTTTTTAGTCATACTCATAAAATTAAGATAAATCGATTAATGTAAGAATCATAATCTATCCCATATCCTGTGGATGTCGTAAAAGGCGACAAAGGGAAACAAACAGGAGATGGGCAGCAGCATCTTCCTGATAACACCCAAATTACAATAAAAAAACTGCTGAAAAAGGTTGCCAACCCGCTTGCCAAGCGTAGCAACTATGGCAAAACCCTCTCAATTATGAGAGTAACAAAGAGACGGCCCCCAGTCCCAGGCGGCCCCGCTATTCCTGGCTACGGTGGCGACCATGGTAACGGCGGGGCAGGGGGTGCTAAGAATCTCCGGTGGAGGGTTGGTTGCCACCTACGACGACTCGACCTGGCAACTTATAACGCACGCACCCTGAGGACTGACGAGAAGATCCTGGAGCTGGAAGAAGAGATAGACAAGTTGCGCTGGAATATCATAGGATTATACGCGGTCCGAAGAGAGGGGAAGGACACGGTAATCCTCGAATCCGGCAACTTGTTCTATCACCGGGAGGGCGACCATCTGTCCCAAGGAGGTGTCGGATTTATCGTCCACAAGTCTCTCGTTAACAACGTTGTAAAGATTGGGAGTGTGTAAACGAGGGTTGCGTACCTTATACTCAGAATCACCATACGGTATTCGCTGAAGGTCATACAGGTTTACGCACCAACTTCGGCACACGCCGATGAGGAGGCGGAGGAAATGTATGAGGATATCTCTAGAGCCATGCATTTCTCCAAAACCCAATATACGGTGTTAATGGGAGACTTCAACGCAAAACTAGGCACAAGAGAGAACGGTGAGCTGAAAGTAGGGAAATTTGGAATAGGGCAACGGAACCCAAAGGGCCAGCAACTGGCCGACTTCATGGAGAAAGAGGGACTCTTTATGATGAACTCTTTCTTCCAGAAGCGGCCCCTCAGGAAGTGGACCTGGTCGAGCTCCGACGGTTCGACAAAAAATGAGATTGACTTCATTATGACGACCACACGACAACTGTTCAGTGATGTCTAAGTGATCACGAGGGTGAAAACCGGCAGCGATCACCGAATGGTGAGAGGCACACTGAAACTAAACGTTAAGCTGGAGAGGTCACGTCTAATGAAGTCAACGCTCCGTCCCCCTCGTGATCTAATCCAAAGTCCCGAAACCTTTCAGCTCTAGCTACGAAACCGTTTTCAGTGCTTAGAAGATGCTGTGGACGATCTGAATGACAACCTCGTGGAAACTGTCCATGCGGTCGGAGCTAAGTTTTGCAAGATCCACCGCAGAAGAACACAAAAACTTTCCGATCACACTCTTAATCTCATGGCTGTTAGACGGGATATGAAGCTGCAGTTTTCAGTAGATTTGACAGCATACAGGCAACTGAACAGACAGATCTTCAAATGCATGCGGCGGGACTTACGCAACTTTAATACTGTTCGTATTGAAGAAACTATCGGGCGGAACCAGGGCTCCGAAGTCTTTGCTAGAGATCTGTCTGCCAGAAAGAGCCAACTGTCGAAGCTGAAGACCGAGTGTGGCAGCGTCATTTCTGGGACACCTGGGATTTTGAGTGAGATTGAGAGGTTCTATGGACAGCTGTACACATCATCGTTGGAGTCGCAAGTGTGAGTAACGATCCACGAGCGAGTCTTATCCGACATTATTTCGAAGATATCCCGGGCGTCAGTCTGTGCGAGATTAGAATGGCTCTCCAGCACCTTAAAAACAGCAAGGGCCCAGGCGAGGATGGAATTACAGCGGAGCTTCTGAAAGCGGGTGCAAAACCGGTACTTGAAGTCCTTCAGAAGCTCTTTAATTCCGTCCTCCATGGTGGCATTACACCGGAGGCACGGAGAAGAAGTGCGGTGGTCTTGTTCTTCAAGAAAGGCGACAACGCTCTCTTGAAGAACTACAGACCGATTTCCCTTCTGAGCCGCGTCTACGTGCTGTTTTCGAGAGTCATTACGTATCGTCTCGCGCGCAGACTTGACGACTTCCAACCTCCCGAACAAGCAGGTTTCCGAAAAGGCTTTAGCACCATAGACCACATACATACCCTTCGGCAAATTGTACAGAAGTCCGAGGAGTACAATTTGCCACTATGTCTGGCGTATGTGGACTATGAGAAAGCCTTTGATTCCGTCGAAATTTGGGCGGTGCTGCAGTCCCTTCAGCGGTGCCAAGTTGACTGTCGGTATATCGAAGTGTTGAAGTACTTGTACAGTAGGGCTACGATGGCTATCCGAGTACAGAACCAGAGTACGAAACCTATCCAATTGCAGAGAGGTGTAAGACAGGGTGATGTTATTTCCCCGAAACTCTTCACCGTTCCATTGGAAGACGTTTTCAAGCTTCTGGACTGGAAAGGATACGGTATCAATATCAATGGCGAGTACATCACTCACCTTAGATTTGCCGACGATATAGTCCTTATGGCAGAATCGCTGGAGGACCTAAGCACTATGTTCAATGACCTCAATAGTGTTTCCCAACGGATAGGTCTTAAGATAAACATGGACAAAACAAAGAGAAAGAAAGATGTTTAATGTCCATGTCACACCTATGCCGGTAGTTGTTAGGAGCACTAAGCTCGAAGTTGTTGACGAGTATGTTTACCTGGGACCGACTAGGTAAGTCCAACTTCGACCGAGAGGTCAATCGACGGATTCGTTCGGGAAATTACGGCACATCTTCAAGTCAGGTATACCTCAAAACTTGAAAACGAGACTGTACAACCAGTGCGTGTTGCCAGTGATGACATATGGAACTGAGACGTGGTCCTTCACTGCTGGCCGGATAAGGAAGCTCAAGGTCGCTCAGCGAGCTATGGATAGAGCTATGCTTGGAGTTTCACTGTGTGATAAACTTAGAAATGAGGATATTCGCAGTAGAACCAGAGTGACTTAGTAAGCTGAACCGACAATCGATGGGGAAAAAAGGTTCTCGAGTGGCAGCCTCGTACCGGCAGGCGAAGTGTAGGGCGTCCCCCCACTAGATGGAGTGACGACCTGGTAAGATATGTAGGAAGTCGATGTATGCAGGACCGTGCTTTGTGGCATTCCTTGGGGGAGGCCAATGTTCAGCAGTGGACTTGTGAAGGGCTGTAATGATGATGATGATGATGATGAAGAATTATAAAATCGGCACACACGTTTGGTATCTAGAGCAGAGATTCTTAAAGTGGGTTTTGCAAAATCATTTATTGTGCTTGTTAAATAATTTCACATTTTGGTACAAATATTATTTTGAATTGGCACTAAATATGTGATGAGAAGAACCCATTACTGTTATGTAAGTATGTCACGTAGGTAGTTAGCGAGAGTTATATTAGAGTTATATTATAATATAACTTTCGCTAACTACCTTGCTCAGGAGCGTCACAAAGGAACATACATACATTCATACATATATAGGTTGATAAAAACATTATCGTTGGGGTAAAAACTAGGTTCATTCAATGTGTAGTGTTCGCGAAAACATAAGAAATATTTGCTACCTTGTTCGCTAGTCCATTTTCGTGAGAGCTGTAAAGGTTGTGGATGTGCCGTACCTTGGTGGGCGTGGCATCCCCTGCGGCGGGGGGTGCGGCGGGCGCGGCGGGCGCGGCGGGCGCGTAGGGCGGCGGCAGGCCGCGCAGGTCGGCGCGCGCGCACTCGGCGTGCACGGCCGAGCGCAGGAAGCGCGGGTAGCTGTCGAACTTCATCACGTTGAAGATCTGCTTCTGTGCCTGCGTCACAATACCACCTGCCGCTTTTTAAACTTGTTCATTGCTACTTATCGTTACCGTTACCTGTAACGAGTGTTTGCTTTTCTAAAACTTTATATTTTTTTTTATGGAATAAAGTTGACAAACAAGCACACAGTCCAATTGATGGTATGTGACTACTGCAATACATGGACACCTGCAGTCAACTTCAAACAAAGACTCATTTGTTTGAAGTGCGTTTTCACCTCTAAAGTCTAAGATAGAATACCTCACATAATGAATGACTTACACGTATAAATGTCGTCGACGGATCCCACACAACACTACACCCACAGGCCACAGAAGAAATTTAAAGGTTCTTTTATCACAACGCAATATTTTACTGGTAACTTCGCAAATATTTGCTGTTAAACAAGTCCAAGATGGTCTGTAAAACACAACGCATATATTGAAGAAAATAACGCGTTATGCTATGCAACTATTTTTTACTTATGTTTTTTGTGTTGCAGTTGTACCATCGACGATGTTTATTTATATGTGTCGTATGAACGGACCTACATTATGAATATTGTAGACCGAGTCCAAGCACTTACAGTAAATAAACACGTTTATCTGTGTCGTAAGAGCAGACATCGGCTAGACTTTTGTCGTAACGAGAAAAATTGCTAGGGTTGTCACAGCGAGAAGAAATAAAAAATAATAAATAGATTTTTTTTAGTCCACGTTTAAATAAATTAATAAGACAATTAGTGTTCAGAAATTCTAAAAGTAGTAAAAATATCAATAGATAAAACATATGTACAATGACAATGACATTCCTTGCATCAGAGTGTGTAGATGTACAACGGTCGCATCAACTGTCAGTGTTTTTGATGGGATAATATTATATGTAGACATGAAATAAATAGGACATAATAAACAGAATTAATTGTCGTATATTTCCTTAGTCCCTTCATCTGTCGAACTGACAAACTATCAGAATCAGACTATTTCATACTGGAACACAACGTGACAGAACAGCCTTGACGGACAGTTCCCGAAAGACTAATAAGGGTGACGTGTACGTGTGGGAAAAACGAGCGTGTGCGCGCTTATTCATGCGTGTGCTTAAACGTGTGCGTGTATGTATTTGACACACACCCGCAGGGACAGGTTGTCGGGCTGCGGGCAGTACTGCAGGCGTGCAGCACACAAGTGTGTGTACGTGTGCGTGTGCGTGTGCGTGTACACGTACCTGCAGGAACAGGTCGTCGGGCAGCGGGCGGTGCTGCAGGCGCGCGGCGGCGGCGCGGCGCGCGGCCGCGTCCACGTTGACGGGCTCGGGCGCGCCGTCGCACAGGTGGCGCGCCCACAGTGCTGCAGGCGCGCAGCACACACGTACCTGCAGGAACAGGTCGTCGGGCAGCGGGCGGTGCTGCAGGCGCGCGGCGGCGGCGCGGCGCGCGGCCGCGTCCACGTTGACGGGCTCGGGCGCGCCGTCGCACAGGTGGCGCGCCCACAGTGCTGCAGGCGCGCAGCACACACGTACCTGCAGGAACAGGTCGTCGGGCAGCGGGCGGTGCTGCAGGCGCGCGGCGGCGGCGCGGCGCGCGGCCGCGTCCACGTTGACGGGCTCGGGCGCGCCGTCGCACAGGTGGCGCGCCCACACCTCCGCCGCCAGCGCCTCGCGCGCCGCGCCCGAGCTGCGCGCGTACTGCTCGCACGACCACCAGAACCTGACCAACGACAACCAGGGGTCACATCTTCCGCTCAACGACTCAACCCTAACACTACTCGCACCTAAAAATTTATTTTGCTTCTAACTTTAAAAAAGAATTAACTGTTTAAATGTTTATTTATTTAACAAAGTTAAACATAATAAACAAGTAAAGAATAACAAATTGATGATTAACATTTTTTTATAGGATAGGGTGACAAACTAGTACACGGTCTACCTGATGGTAAGTAGTTGCTGTGATCCATAGACATCTACATTTATCGTCTATAAAAAATCAAAATGCAAATGCGTCGACACCAGTGAGGACTAAAATGGAATTACTCTTTACCAATAAAATGGGTCTCCAGCTCTCTACACTCACCATACGAAACACAGCAGTGTCAAGCTGCCATTTTACGCTGGTATTCTGTGAGAGCGTAGTCCCACCCGCCCGAGCCGACCAATTCATGTTACAACTATACTAATGACGGCTCCGTGGCGTAGTGGCTTAGCAATGGGTTGCTTGCGCTGGGGGGCGCGGGTTCGAATCCCGCACGGAACAAGTATTTGTATGGCCTACAAATAATTGTTCCGGGTCTGGATGTTTGTCCTTGTGCAATTTGTGTTTATAAACTGCCTCCACGATACAGGAGAAAATCCTAGTGTGGGGGTAACGTTTTTAAAAAAAAAATAGAGCTGCATAGCTCTATCACGTATAAATTCTTATTGGAATATTCCCAAAACGATTTAACTAGGACCTTCAAGAAAAGAGTATACTCTTTGTTAAAAAGCGGGCAACGCACCACCAATTCCCCTGGTGTTACAGCTGTTGTTCATGAGCGGCGGTAGTCGCTTACCGTCAGGTGAGCTGCATACTCGCCAGATGTTGCTTACAACTAATGGGAGCAATCTTCCGCTCACCGATACTACTTAAAGGCCTTCAAGAGAAGAGCCTACTCTTTCCTACGTAACTAGCGGCATCTATTCCTTTTTTATAAAAAAATGAATAGATGTCGCTTATTCCTTTTTTTATAAAAAAATGAATAGATGTCGCTAGTTGGGACTAAAAAGAATTTATTGTGACAGATGGCTACAATAATGAATCATGATTATTACTGAAAATTTGCGATTTAAATGAAAGTTTTTCGCTTTCTAGTGTATGTATATAAGACAAAACAAATCCCCAGTGGTGTGCTCTTTAATTTAAAAAAAAAATATTATGATTTAAAAGTGTCTGTAATTTGGTTTATGCATTACTAATCTAGTTATTATAAATATACCTAATATTTATTCAATTCTTTAACAATTTAGCGGTCAAATAATTCACCTCATTCCTGATGTGGCGCTGCCCTGGTGGCAAAAAAACTGCGGATTCCCTCATCGGACCTTTGGCCCGTATTCAGAAACCATCTCGAGTTTAAACACCAACGTACGCCTTTTAATTTTTATTTTTTACCATTTCGAGTGGACTAACGAATATTACAATCTTAATGTCGTCTAAATAGTTCCATTAAGAACTTCATTCCCCATTACGAGCCCCTAGAGCTGATCTTTTTTCTCCTAAATTATATAGGACCACCCCTGAAATATAATTTAAACAATAAAAAAAGCCTCAGAATCGTCTCACAATAATTGACGAAGATATCGCGTAACATCCATAAAGAAAAAAAAACATTCAGTCGAATTGTCAACCACCTCTTTTTTAAGTTTTAGAAGTTGGTTAAACACAATAAACACAATGAACAATTATTGTCAATAAAAACTATTGATAATGGTAGTAATTTGACAATTAATTTAAAGAATACAAACGTAACAATTGGCTCACCGAATATTTTCTGCGGCGAACTCCTTGGCGAGGAAATGCGCGAAGGCGGCGGCGCCGGCGGGGTCCGCCAACAACTGCTCGAGCCCCAGCGACCAGCGCGCCACCCCTCCGCTCGCTCCGTTCACACCACTCCCACCCTCGCTCATTTGCTGCACACACCACCAACACGTACGTGAATACGATGAGATTAACTTAGGAGTGTCAATATGCGGCTAAGGTGTAACACCATGGGAATTTAGTTAGTGCGAGTCCAACATAACCTGTCCTTGCCCCCACGAAGCGGGTTTCCGCAGGCATTTCCCCGTGTAAAAAAATGAGTTACAAATATACACCCTTTAACATTCAAGTATGTACTATTGCATAAAATAACTTTACGAGATTTTATCGCGCTTAATTTTAACTTCTTAATTCCCTAAGGAGAATTTTTTCACGGGGAAGAGGGGAGGAGGGGGGGGGCTGGGACGGATGTGTTTGACGTCCTGATGAGTCCGTGAAAAAAAGCCCGTCCAATCATAATAATAGTATTCGTGTAAGTATAAGAAATCATCATTCAATTACCATTTAAAAGTAAGTAAGCTACAAATATTTTTACTGCATAAAACTTTTTTATAGGAGTGAGGGTGAAAGTACGGGTAAGTTTTCGTCAAACACAACGAAGTAAATAAATAAAATGAGCTTGTATATATGAGTAGTGCTCTTTGCTCTGAGTATATGCGTACAAACGAGCAGACAGTCCACCTGGTGGTAAGTGTCAGCAGTGGGTGTGTTGCTGTTTATACTCAACCAAATCCAAGAAATACCTTTTGAGAGCTGTCAGACTTATTGGACTAGGCATGCCAATCAAAAAAAAAATTGGTACGTACTATATTCGATTCTTAAGAAAAATCGATATCGATTCTTTAGAGTTTGTAATCATTTACTATTTGTACTCTATACTGTAATTGTACAAGCCGCCATCTACTAAACTTTCTTGCAACTTCGCCGCAGCAGGATATTCGCCCCTTGTGAAACTGCTGTAGAGCTGGTTTCTAACAGCATCTGCGTCGAATTGATCGATATATGTAGTAACATATAGAACATACCAGTAGGTTTGTTCTTTTTTCGTTTTTTTTTTCTGAAGGCCCGTACTTTTCACTCCAGGCAACGCAATGGTGCGTTTGTCAAATTTCGAGTGCTTCACCGACACGATGCCGCAATTGTGTCACTGGTAAAAGGGGCCCACCGTTTTGTGACTAACATTCGAAATATTCGTATAATTTCTATACGAATGCACGAGCCTGACTGTTTGGCAGGAGCCTGACGGTTTAAAGTGCGATTACCACAACTACGTCCTCTTTTTGACATTATGATCACTTCTTGCTTAGTCAGAATTCAGTATTATAACTTGCCAAAGATATAATAGAATCAGTCCAAATAGTTATAGCTAAGTTACAAAATAAGAAGATAAACAGAAAATCAGAAAAGTACGCACATAAAGCTCCATAAAATGGTGAGACATTGGAATTACGTAGTGTTTTTTCAGCGCAGCATTGAATATGAGTTTTATTGCCTACACAAATTTCAGCTGACAAAGTAGGAAATAGAAACAAAAACTTGTTTCATTCATCATTCATATAATTTAAGTAATTTTAAAAATAAAAATTTAAAGATTCGATTATTTGAATATTTTTACCGATTATTTAAATTTTTGGCCCATTATTCGCATAACAATCAATCTTAATCATTCAAACACTACAGTAAGGTACATAGCAACATAATATTATTGAAACAACGTCAGGCAAAAAAGTAGACTGGTAATTTTTTATTTGAAAGATTTAAGTCAGTGATATAGAACTGTAATGAAAAATATATTACTTCATAATTATTGGTGTTAATGTAAAAGGTTATATTATATCCCATAGTGTAAATCGTGAGTACGCTTGTACAGTTATTGCGGTATGATTAATGTGATACGTCATAATTTTTTTATATAATATATTATTTAATATATATTTATAAATTATGTTAAAATATACGACATTTTATTATATACAATATTAAAACTATATAATAAGAAACTAAAACTAGAAACTTAATTATCATATAGTCCTACTCCCCGCGGTATCGTGCCAAGAACGCTGGCTGCGTTTCCCCGCTGAATTGCTATACTTAGCCTTTGAGCGAGAAAAGAACCAGCCCTCTTATCACCAGCAGCAACGATCAGCCGCGGATGGAGTTCCTTTAGGAACTTCACCGCACGTGGACCCCACGGACCGATAGTCTCTACAGCAAATGGCACAAATATGTAGTCATCTTTCAGAGACTCATATTTGCGCCACATACTCAGTTCAGCTGCCTCTGATGCCGCCCCGGCTCTAAACGAGGTAACCCTGAGTTGAGAGGCCGCCAAAGTGTCTACGCAAGTAGCTTTACCTCTCCCCCAAGGGACCAATGTCATACCGTCGGGTCTCCTGCCATCGTCTCTAAATATTCCACAAGGCTCTAAAACCGAGAGAACATTTATAGAGACAAGAGCCCTTCAGATGACATCGTTCTAAGAACTGTGTCGTGAAAACCTACCAGCGCTTTTCTTACATGAAAGTCCGTGGAGCCCAAACTTGTCGACGCTGCTACCACAGGGCACTGATTGGGTTGACAAATCGCCGCTCCTAGTCGGATTCCTACGGCGATGCGCAAGCTTTCCCTATCAAGTAATGTGCCGAGATTACTTGATGGTAAAGCGTGTAACCAGTGACTAGATTCCTTAGTTGAAACAGCTAGAAGGTGTGCTTTATCTTGATCACTATGGAAATTATGAGACAAATCTTTCTGCATGCCCTGTACCAATGGAATATCCCACTGTTTTCGTTGGTTAATTTCCAGTGGGACATTTTCCCTGGGACAGAGCGTTTGCCATGTCTGCCCTGCCTCCGTAGCAAAGCACGTCGTAAGATCAAAAGATATTTCTTAGTGATTTCTTATATTTACGCGAACACTACACATTGAATAAAACTACTTTTACGGATTCTATCGCGTTTAACTTATTTTTATATTTATTCAAAAATTTTAATAATATTTAATTAAAAGCTCGCTTCAAGATGTGGCCAATCTTGTCTGTGACACCTCTGACATATGGTAGTACAGCAGGCTGAAGTTACTCCGGGTTAACTATGACATCGGGAAGTCAATCGGCTCAGTCCTTCGTGACGTGGGTGTTGTAAAGCACCCGAAACGTAGGGAATTAATAAAAAAAATAAGTTAATTAAATGCGATAGAATCAGTAAAAGTAGTTTTATTCAAAGTATTTCTTAGATTTGGTTGAGTATAGGGACAGTAATCGGTAAGAAGGCGGTACCATTTTAAGAAAAAAATGTTTTCTACCGCCTAGTAGTTGTAAAAGCCGCGCGCAGGTTAGCAGATAACCATCTCTCCCACTTCATTACGTGACGTCATTACGCTATCGGCAAACCTGCGCCCGGGTTGCAAATACAAATGTACAGTGCCATTTGTTGCCAAGTGTACTCATTTAACTCACAGTGCAAAATTTTCTGTATTTTTTTACGTATTTGAAGTCAGTGCTTGGTCACAATCTCATCTGGTGGTGTGTGGTGAGTGGTGATGAAGCCTCAGACGGTAAATCGCACTATTCACTGTTGCCTTGAAGCTGCCCAGATTTTTATTTGGATGGAAAGATAGACGCCGGCAATTTATTCCACTCCTTCGCTGTATGCATTACAAAAGAGATAATGTCACGGCAGCCTCCGTTTCGATCTCATTCATTACCAAGTATTTGACTGACCTTACTGTAAATGTTGCGATGGTCGTGCTGGCGGTAAGAGCTGCCGGCGCCGCTGCCGGTCGTCCAGCGCCGGAACGGCGACGTTTGCTCGCTCTGTAAACAAACGATATTAAACTTTACGTAACATGTTTTAAGGGTTATTGCACTAACTAACCTTCTAATTTTACGTCTTCCTTTCTCTAATCTATAATTAAATGTTTATAGGCACCTTGCAGGGTTACATACATAAATAAATATACGTAAGATCTATCAATACACACCCTGACATCGTAATAACAACGTTTTGCTCCAAACCCTAGATATTACCGCAAATCGTTTGATGAACTTTATGCGTGTTTCTTTATGTGTATATTATCATGGCATGAATGTGTACAAATTTTCCTGTCCACAAGTACGACGTTTAGACGGAGTTGCGGAAAAAGTTCGATATATACAAATCCTTAATATTACATATATACTAACTACAGGTACATAACCGATCGGATAAAAATCACTCGTCGGAATAAATTTTAAAGATCCATTTATTTTATAACAGGAATTGTACGGTTATATTAATTAAGTACATATTTTATGATAAGTGTAAGGGTGTTACCACACTAATCGATCAATCATCGATCGATGTCGATCGATTGGTGTGGTAGCTTTAGCTGGTCGACGGATACTGCTCGATAAAACGTTGTTCAATCATCGATCGACGTCGATCGGCAGTTAATCGATATGGTTTTGATTAGTGTTGCCCAAAATCGGTCTTGGTCTTAAAATATTGGTCTTGTTCTTGCATTTTTGTAAGACCAAGACCAAGACTGACCGTGCAGGATTAGAGCAAGAAAAAGACTAATCCTGCAAGACTCTTGCGTCTTGCAGTTAGGACTGAGTGTCGTTTTAGGGAGTATAGGAGTTCGGGTATACGCTTAGGGAATCTATGAGGCGTAAAAAATATATATTAAAAATATGGAAAATTGGACTTATGCATTACGAACAATACCATAATTTAGTTGGTCTTTACTATGGCTATGTTAATTCAAGCTCAAAATGTACCTACTATGTCAAGTTGTTCTACGATCTCTTTATCCCTTTGTCGTATCTCCTCAGTTTCAAGGCACTCCCCTTGTTGCCTCAACCAGTATCGGAATCCTCGGTGTCGACATATCGAGTGACGTGCAGTTTTGTGGTCACTTGAGAGAAAAGGCAAAACTGGCCTCTAAAAAGCTTAGCGTGCTCAGCAGAGCGGGACAGTATTTCAAGCCGGCACACCGCTTGCAACTTTACAAGGCGCGGGTTCGGCCTCACATGGAATACTGTTCCCATCTCTGGGCAGGGGCTCCTCAGTGCCAGCTCCTTCCACTTGACCGCATCCAGCGCAGAGCAGTTCGAATTGTTGACGACTGAGTTCTTTCCGATCGGCTTGACTCACTGGGACTGCGTAGAGATGTTGCGTCACTTTGCGTATTTTATCGCATCTATCACGGGGAGTGCTCTGAGGAATTGTTCGGACTAATTTCAGCCGCTAAATTTCACTCTCGCACATCGCGACAAAACTCGCGATACCATCCATACCATCTGGTTGATTGACGGTCCACCTTTGTGCGATTTAGAAGAAGTTTTCTTCCTCGTACAACTTCCTTATGGAATCGATTACCACCAGCGATTTTTCCGGACCGGTACGACATAGGGACCTTCAAGAAAAGAGCCTACTCCTTTTTAAAAGGCCGGCAACGCATCTGCAATTACCCTGGTGTTGCAGTTGTTCATGGGCGGCGGTAGTCACTTACTATCAAGTGAGCCGCATGCTCGTTTGCCCCCTCTCCTATAAAAAAAAACCAAAATTTCTCAAAGTTGTCTTTTACCACACGGGACAAAATGGGAAGAAGAATTCTCTTAAGTGCCACAACATGCCAGGAAAAAAACTTAACTGTCGAAAAATTCTCTTAACCATCCATTATAAGTAACTCCCAACAGATGACCTCATCGATTTTCACAATTCAACGAAGATTTACATCGACCGCTGTAAACCATCATGATTTATTGTACTCTCGAATCTCACAGCGATCTAAAAGTCGGCGAGCGTTTACGGGTAAAATGCACGGCCGTATTGTTCGGAGATTTCATCGAACCGATACCGTGACCGTGGGAGAACTATACGGCACGACGTAACGGAAAGAGGTTTCAGAGGTCAATAATTGGAAATTAAAAATTTTGTACGACCGACTTCAAAGTAATTTATTATGGATAAGTCATAAACTATTTGTCAGACCTTGATCAAGATTTATACATGAGCACATGAGAAGCATCAGCTTTCAAATAAAAAAGAATCATAGAAATCGGTACACCCAAAAAAAAGTTATGAGGTAACACACATTAAAAAAAACATACAGCCGAATTGAGTACCGCCTCCTTTTTGAAGTCGGTAGAAAATATCGAAAGTAGAAAGTATAGGAGCATACAATTAATGGTGTAAATAATTTAAATAAAGTTCGGAACAAGTTTAATCGTTAAAGGAATTAAAAAAAAAAAACCGAATGCGTAAAAAGTTTACGGGAAAAAAATCCTTCCCGTACCTTTTTTGTATAGTACTAACGACCGATCTGAATGAATGAATGTTTACCATATTTAAAACTAGCTGTGCCCGCGACTTCGTTAGTATAGAATAATTTTTAGTAATTTACTATTATTCTTCCCTATTTGAATCGGATTTTGTTCACAATTGCAAGGGTTTTAATTTTATTGCGCGGAGACCTATATCTTTATTTTCTTCTAAAATAAAAGTGGCCTAAGTTACTCCTTATAGCACCAGCTAGCTGCCAGTGAAAGTGCCGTTAAAATCGGTCCAGTCGTTTCGGAGATTAGCCGGAACAAACAGACACAGTTTTATTTCACTTACAGGTACCGTTTATACTTTCATATGCATTTATTTCATAAGCTGTTATTTTGACATTACAAACAGATACTTCAATTTTATTTATTTGTACAGATAAAGGTAGCTTAGCTGAAAGATAATTTTAGAGAAGAAAAACACAAAGCGTGTTAAATGTTTACGTGATACTAAAAACCGGGTTGTTGATATTATACTGTGAAAGTTATAACGAGAATAAAAGTAAGCTCAGCTTTATGAAGCAACCTCAGAAATAACAGAGTGGAGTCAAAGAGGTCGCTGAAATTAAGAAATGTAAATAGACCCATTTCTCAATTCTGACCTAAAAATTTGATATGTACTTATAACGAATGCTACCCGGTTTAAAAAGATTACAGAAATAAAGATAATGTATTTTACTTACGTATTTTTTTTTATAGGATAAGGGTAACAAACGAGCAGACAGTCCACCTAATGTTAAGTGGTTGCTCTGGTCCATAGACATCTACATCTATCCTCGACTATGAATCAAAATGCAGATGCGTTGTCACTAAGATGGAATGCCTCTTTTCCAGTAAAAGGGGTCTCCGGTTCTCTACACTCACCATATGAAACACAGCAGCGTCAAGCTGCTATTTTAAGCTGGTATTCTGTGAGAGCGTTGTCCTACCACGGTCGTGCCGACCCATTCGTGCTACAAATATGTATATAGCAAAAATAGTATAGCTGCAGCGTGACTCTAACCCGTATAAAATACATATTTGTAAAATGATTATAAGATCGGGGTATTCCCGAATTTCAAATTTGTAAAAAGTCACTTATACCACACGAGTAAAGAAACCGACTCATACTTACAATAATAGATAATGTGAGTGACATAAGAGTTTTAATAAACAATTATCACTCGGCAAAAAGCGAGAAAGAAATCATAGCTTCCAACAGATGGCGGTGTAACCACCTTGTTTTCGCCAGACGTAAAATATTTTTTGAGGCATTACATCTTAGTCCTCACGGGTGACATCGCATCTGCATTTTGATTCGCAAACGTGGATAGATGTAGATGTCTATGGGCCATAGCAACCTTAGTTACCATCAGGTGGACTGTGTGCTCGTTTGTCACCTTTATACTATAAAAAATTTAACTATAAATATGATACGGAGCAGCATCAAAGGTGTGCAAGGTGGTGCTGCGATAGGTAAACCGCCTGCCAGACTCCCTGCTATGAAAGACATTTTTATCTCTAGTAAACGACTACAATTTACGACTAGAGCATGCAATACCGTTATATCGTCACCGCAATTTCGCGAATTTCGCGCTCTATTTCAGTACCGCAAAAGCGAGACTACAGGTGCGAATTTCGCAGTATTAAAAACGAACCCGGTATGAAACCGGAGTAACAATGAGTAAATATCTAGAGACGGTGTATACCTGCAATGCATTCGGCTGCTGGATACATACATATGTAATAAAACTAGAAGTTCTTTAAATGATGAGACAGTGATATGCTTTGATTTTTACATAAACCTTTCCAAAGACAAAATTAAATTTAGAATTGTATGTGTGATTAATTGTAGTTACCTCATGTTGTTGTTTTAGTTAAACCGCCTTAAAGGATTTTTTAATTTCGCAATATCGCAAATTTAGCGATATTACAAGTTCCGATACCGCAATATTGCGGTATTGAAAATATACTGCGGCATTGCATGCTCTATTTACGACTGTTAACGAAGAAGAATTATTCATTAAATTTGGATGACGGTTGTAGAACTTTCGGAGGTTGTAAGCAATCTTGCTCTTCTTTCAAAATCAAAAATATTTAGTGTTGTTTATTCCTTCTATTAAGAGCCTTGTCTAAACACCAAAATAAATCTGTTATTTTTTTGTTTTCAGCAAGAAGTTACACAACTACAAGCCACTTCTGACAGTTTATGATGTTTATTTCCAGCATTGTTTAAAAGCTTGCAACACGTTAAGTACTACAAATATAAATTTAAAACTAAAAATAGTCACAATGTTTCGCATAAACATATTTAAAGACACTTGCGATTTGATACAAAATATAATATATAACATTTTTCTTATAAATGTAAAAAATATTTCCATTGTTAATAACCAATTTCATTCGTTAAGATTTCTTAATAAGGTTGCATTCTTCCTTTACAATAATTTCAACATTTTTGATATTTTCTATATCTAACCTGACCTAACCTCGATTGCTATTTTTTTATTATAACATAACATAACATATACAATCACGCCTGTCACCCAGAGGGGTAGGCAGAGACTATGGACTTCCATCTGGCACGATCCTGACACACCTTTCTTGCTTCCTCTACATCCATATACCTACGCAAACACGGTCGTCGGTTAAAGGTACTCTTGATTTGGCCCATTTTCAATATATCGCCAATTCGGTCGATAAACTTTCGCCTAGGGCGTCCCTTCCCGACTCTGCCGTTTACCTCTGCAACATAAATTTGCTTTGTCACTCTTTCCTCATTAATTCTTTCTATAGGCCCAAACCACCCAGTTTTTTACTTTATATTAATTAGGCATTAAATTATATCAAATGCCTAATTAATATAAAATAAAACTAATATAAGTAGACTCTTAATAAAGAGATCAAAATAGGTGTTTGTAGACAAATGTTTTAAGTTTTTAATATATACTTCTACTTAATAAGGCACGTTTTATCAACTTACGCTTCTTCAGTTTTAGCCCAGGTATGTCACGAGCCAATTGTTAATAAACTCTGATCTTAAAAGACTCTGCGATATTTATAACAACTAAACTTTAAATAAACTTTGAGCGGGCACAATTTACGAATATCCAGACATTCCAGAAATTCTGGGAGTGTATTTATACAGACGTAATAGACACGTGTTCAGAGCCTTCGCACTCACATATTACTTCTGCAGTCATAAATTGAAGCGTGGCTCTACCACGTTAGTACGTACAAAATGTGCAAATATTTAAATGCATGACTTGCAACAACACTTTGTGGCGATTTTTTTTTATAGAATAAGGGTGACAAACGAGCACACAGTCCACATAATGGTAAGTGGATGCTGTGGCCCATAGACAATCTACATAATATATCCTCAATTACTCTTCTACTGCTTCTAGGCAAAAAAGGAGTTCTTGAAGTTTAAAAAAAAAACTCACAATTATATTGTGAAGGTAAGCGTCATCGACAATTGCAGGCAGTCGTGTTCGGAGAATTATTAAATTATAAATAAATAAGGACATTTGAGTACAAAGTATTCAATTTTCCCGTTACAGATTTAAAGGCGCAATATTTGCAACAAATCAATTTGTTGTCATGTGTATCACCGTTTACGTACCATATTTTTGTCGAACCGCTGCACGCAGCAGTCCGCACTGAGCAAGTATTTGTAACTGCTCCGGTTCTGGTTGTTTACCGTTACCTTTACAGCCTATTAAACCTAGTAACTGAACAAAGGCCTCTGCCATAGATTGCCCCATAGCAGTGGCGTAGCTAGGCGTAAGCGTAGTAGGCCCCCGGCCACGGCCTCGCACTTAAAGGGGTCCCGCGAGGCCCATCATATGCGATGTCCCCAGACTTTACCACAGAAGACTAATTAATTTGATAACTTTAACGCTCGAAAAGAACATCATAAATTTAAAAGCGAGTTTGTTTGGCGCACGAAGCCACTCTTAAGTGCGACTAAGAGACCATTGTAACTAACTTCAAAGATCGCGACCGTTAGAATGACAGAATACGAGATTTGTCAGGAATTAATAGCTATGAGTAGGTATGCTCTTTCAAAGCATGTATGGTAGAATAGATCTATTGGGTAGATCTTGGGAACCACGTCTATATTAGTCCACGGTACACCTCTGCCCCATAGAGAGGATATTTGCCACAGTTAACACACTTGGCTGGCAGGTCGGAAACCGCAGGTTTAATTTTTTAGTTGTTATTAGAAATACCCTGCTGCCTATCTACTGATTCATCCCAATGTCGCCTCATACGATACACTTGGGACGATTCATGGGATATGGGATATTCGGGACGATTTGGGGTAGCAGTGGAAATTCTAACACCGCCACTACACGGTGGATTAGGTACCATATTTTTGTTAAATTCCGCACTGAGCTAGTATTTGTCTGGCCTACAATTAACTGCTCCGGTTCTGGTAGTTTACTGCTACCGTTACAGCCTATTAAGAGTTCACAATTAAATAATTGCCTCATAGGAAGGCTTTTACGTGGTAGAGACATGCTGCAGCTATATTAGTAGTATAGTTGTAGAACGAATGGGTCGGCTCGACCGGGGAAGGACCACGCTCTCACAGAATACTAGCGTAAAATAGCAGCTTAACATAGCTGCGTTTCGTATGGTGAGTGTAGAGAACCGGAGAACCGTTTTTACTGGAAACGAGGCATTTCATCTTCGTCCTCACGGGTGACAACGCATCTGCATTTTGATTCTTTGTTGAGAATAAATGTAGATGTCTATGCGTCACAACAACCACTTACCATCAGGTGGACTGTGTGCTCGTTTGTCTACCTATCCTATAAAAAAAGATGCTGCTGCACATCTCCGGGTTTGTTTCCTTCTGTTGCCTCTTATGACGCCCACGTGACGATATGGGGTAATAGTAATATTCTTACACCGCCATTACGCGGTGTCTGCTTGTTTGTCCGTATGCAATTTATGCGTGTAAAACTCGCCTGTAGTAAGGAGTAATTCCTAGCGTGGGAGTAACAGTTTTAAAGAATACAAATCGTTTGCTAAACTTATAGCACCATGAGAACGTGCGAGAGATGATTTCATAATGATTTGTTAGAAAGTTGTCATTCCTGCGTACACTGACCTTATCTTACAATTATATTGCGTGTTGGCGGACTTTACAAGCGTCTGTATAAAAGCTATTCTCGTGTTATATAGGGGTTCTTCTATATTTCTTACAAAACTACCGGGTGATAAAAATGTAGTTAACACACCTAACAGTAGTAGCGTTGGTCCGACACTAAGTCTTTCCATGTGTAGTGTGTATCTTCTAGAAAAAGAAAGATCTTGTGATCCCAAATCTTGACATAATATACGATATAACGTCGGAGGAGATAAATCTATACAATCTATACAAATAAACAAAATTGAAGTGTCTGTTTGTAATGTCGAAATAACAGCTTTTTACTATATGCATATGAAAGTATATACGGCACTTATAACAAAAACACGATTTTTAACATTTTTGTATGTCTGTCTGTCTTTCTGTCTGTATGTCTGTTTGTTCCGGCTAATCTCCGAAACGGCTGGACCGCTTTTGACCGGAATTTCACTGGCAGATAGCTGATGTTATAAGAAGAAACTTAGGCAACTTTTATTTAAAAAAAATAATTAAGGTTCCGTGCAAAAAATTAAAACCAATAAAATCCAATCGTAATAAATTGCTCGCGGGCGAAGTCGCGGGGAACAGCTAGTTAAAAAATAAGATAATGTTATCCAGAGCGAATTTCGGTTACGGCGGCCAGTGTCAACGGAGAAAAGCCATCTGCGCAGTACAGGAATATAGTGCACGAGTGCGTGGGAAAGCACAGCACTCTCTATTCCTTCCATCACGGATAGGGTTACCATCTGACCGGATAAAGCCGTTCTAGACCGGATTTTTACGTGTTAGACCGGACTCCGCCCGGATTTTACGTCAGACCAGATTTTTGTCATACTTGCATGTCCTCCCGCCCGCTCAAGCGACGGGTGCCGCACCTACTCACGCACTGAGCCCGGAACGAAAATGAAACTAGTGAGATATATTTGTTCTATCCGCATTCTTTAATGGCTATATTTCACAAAAGGATTGCTTCGCTAGAAAAAGAGAAAAACTCAATCGCCGAAGTGTATTAAATGGAACGACAGAGTCACTCAATCAAAGAATCGAGCCAAATTTCATTCTTTTGAAAGTACGAGAGCTTTTTCAGAAACACAATATTACCGCAGCTGACCAAACGCAGATAAATAGCGAAATAAAACAAATGTACGAAGAATGTATCAACTACATAAACCTTGGGATAACACCCTTACAATCCTTAAAATGCTTCGAATGGATGTGTTTAAAGAAGGATCTACAATTTGAAAAAATCACAGATGCTCTAGTGTTTTTGAGGGACAAAGGAATTCCTGTAGATGACGCAAAACTATTTGAAGAGTTCTGCCTGCTTAAGAATTTTCTGAACACAAAACAGAGCGATTTTTATGACGAGCTCGCTGAAAAGCAATGGTGTATCTTTTTTAATACAATTAACGACAGCT